GACGCCGCAACACTCCAACCATATCATGGTATCGTGTAATAAATCGAGTCTGGGCCGACCCAAACATTAATAAGCAGGCATAATAACTATCGGAACAGCCGGATCTTTAAGACAAGTATGTGAAACTGCGGTCCGGTTCTTACACAGATGAAAAGGACGGTGGTTTAGCCAAGTAGTTAAAGCGTTCACTCGAAGACCCGGGTTCGATTCCCCACACGGGAACAATGTGTGAAGCCCATTTCTGGTGTCCCCGACGTGATACTGCTATAATATTGCTAAAGGCGGCGTAAAACCATACTCACTCCATAGAAAACAGTGTTGACAACATTAATGTATACACATTCTTTGAGATTTTAATAAGCTATTTCCACCACTGATGGTAGTTTCCATATGCATTAAAGCTAACGTAATGCCCTTGGGGATGTATTTAAAACCTTTCCGGAATTCAAACACGTTGTAAACAAGATAGGTGCAGACTGAAAGATTGTCATACACAGCTCTATCACACTAGTTCACATGCCCCGGGCGCCGACACGCCGTCGGGACCACATAATCTACTATATAACGGCTCGGTGTTGGCGTTACAGAATAAATTGCCTTGTCTTCGTAAAACATTCTATATTTTTTTGTTGTTGTTGTCTTTGAAGATAAAATGTTTATGCATTAATTAATAATCCACCGTCACAATGTTTGGTTATCTATTCACGGCGTTCCTTACTAATTTACTGACCTTGACCTAATAGTTTTATTGACCTTGAGCTTGACCTGACTGAAGCACGACAGTAAATTGAGTCAGATACGTTTGTCGTTTGATTCATTTAACAAGCACTGGATGCTACGGGGTGGACGTGAGAATGAAACTATAAATAGGAAAATATCTGAGAGAAGAGCTGAAGTCGGCTGCTCTGAAAACCAACACAAAACGGGAGTAATTGTTCAAATAGTTTGTAGCTTCGGAGGCAGAAAGCAAGTGAGTTTAGTATGGGATCTGAAACCTCGTTTCATTCTAGCGATACTACTGTATCATGTCCCTATAGTGTGTTGAAGTAAGAGACTTGTGACAGTCGATTTTTATGTCCTTCCCGACATTATGACTAGTTTTTTTCTGCATCTCTCTGGTTGAAGATTCGCTCAATTCAGTTGATCAGCTGAAGTCTGTCTCGTCTCGAGCCTTGGGGCACATTTACAGGCTTGGTTGACAGCAAAGCCAGCTGTCAAATAACGCTCAACTTAATATCAGGAAATATGACGAATAGGCAACTATTTCCTTGGGGAAATGCGACTAGAGGAGGCGCACTATCACTAAAACTGTCAGGTCAGCAATTTACTAAATGACAGTTAAGCCCTAGGGTACATTTGTAATACATAACGCAAGTAAGACTGACCCAGTAACATGCTGACCCATTGGCGCCAGTCAAACAGATGACCTGTCATTTTATGCCCGCTTCAATGGCATCATGCGTATAGAAATGGCTCAAACATATCAGTAAACAGTCTACTTTGAGGACACAAGACAGAAAAACGGCTAACTACCAATTGGTAGTCACTTGCCAATAAGCTCTAGCCAACGAGAACAATTGCATAGTACATATGAGATATTTTAAAAATTATTTTTAAAAAGATAATATTAGGGCGTGGATGCAAAAATAAAACAGAAAATTAGAACATCGTCGGTGTTTAGAGAGTGAAATATTCACATCGTCGGTCGGTGCAATAAGAGACACAACAACGCAGAATATAGTTTTACAGCGCGGTCGCAGAGCAATCTTTAAGGACCGAGGGGTATAATAGCCTAATGGTTAACAACAACGCACGGGAATATTATTTGACTGGATTCAAACGCGGTGGCAGAGAACAATAATGATGTTAAGGACCGAAAACTAGTCGTACAGTCTTGGGACCGAAAAATACGTACACTTAAAATACAAACAACTGAAATTTCCACGTACTCCGCCGCTATCTTATGCACGGGCCGACTTCGTGAATATGGGCAACGCCACAACCTTCATACACCTGAATCCTGAACTCGCGATAGATGCTCTAGTCTCCCACTCTAATTAAACATCTCGAGTAAATAATACAGCAGGTTACAGACCAACGTCAACGTGAGGCGGGTACGTACATACATACCCGGAGTGCAACATGTACGGCTCACCATGTTAAAGATAAGACACGTACAGTAGTGGTTTTTTGGTTATTGCAAATGCCAATCACACTAAACACTCGTGCTATGCGGTTCGTGTACTAAGTATTGTTATCTGAATTCACTGATACAATGCACCTGGAGGATTCGTGATACACTTCCCTGTTCACTTACTTACATCAGCATTTATTATGATCATGCAGACACACCCTCGTTCTTGCTTAATCCTGTCAAAGAGATACGTTCCGATCTTACTCTAGGTTGTAACATGATTGATCAGGTACTGCTGTTAAGGTGGGCATGTGGCCAACCGTTTAATATTTCCCTAAAACTGCCATTTGACAAATTCTGTGAAGTATTTGCATAAATAATCAGGACTTAAAATTGAAAGATAACAAATGTTGTAGACAGATTTTTTTCTGAATCAAAGATGGCTACGTGGCGGCCATATTGAAATTTCAATTTTCCGTGATGACTTTAAGAAACTCCGATGTACTTTTCGCCCAAAATATTAACAAAAACGTTCAGATGAATCCACCAAAACGCTGTAGACGAAGAAGTGGTAAAGCTGTGAGGTGAGGTGAAATTGGGTTTAACGTCGCGCTCGAGAATATTTCGCTCATATGACGACGTGCATGCGTGTGTATGTGTACGTGCAGCTGCTTGTACTAGCCCAGACTGAAGCTGGTTTTATAGTGCTAGCCCACTGAGATACAATGCCGCAGTGAAGCAAGAATACCCCACTCAGACACATTATACTGACTCCGAGCCGACCAGTCCTTGTTGTACCCATTAATGCCGAGCGCCAGGCAGGGACCAACAAGTACCATATTTTAACGTCTTTTGGTATGACGCGGTCGGGGATCGAACCCGCGACCTTCCGCTCTCCGGGCGGACGCTCTAACCACTACACCACAGAGGCGGTCGGTAAAGCTGTACTTTAGTAAAGAGGCAACAGACCATATAAACTAACACATAGTCTCTGAATATATATAATTTTGCTAGAAACAAACCATTCTTCTTAAATTGAAAAGGATCCCCAGTGAAATGGGAGATTCAGAACCTGGGGAAATCTAGACATGTTTCTTTTAAGGTTTTAGCATTGCAGAAATGGCTAGGCAGAAAGGAAAATAATGCGTTTCAGGGACTTTGAGGCAGACTACAGACCATAGTCCACCAGTTAGGTCCTACATTCTGATCATACATTATTGTTACTGTATTAACAGTGTTTTGGTAGGTGATCATTTTATAGATTAAACGGGGCGGTGGGGTAGCCTAGTGGTTAAAGCGTTGGCTCGTCACGCCGAAGACCCGGGTTCGATTCCCCACATGGGCACAATGTGTTAAGCCCATTTCTGGTGTCCCCCGCCGTGATATTGCTGGAATATTGCTAAAAGCGGCGTAAAACTAAACTCAGTCAGTCAGTCAGTCTAGATTAAACTGCATATCGATATGAAGCATACTTTGAAAGTATTCCTGTTGATAAAGTATTCCCCAGAATTTTGACAACAAATATATGCCATCATAAACAGTAAGTACCCGTGTAGATTCGGGTTAGAATTTGTCTTCAGCAACCCGCGCTTGTCGTAAGAGGCGACTAACGGGATCGGGTAGTTAGGCTCGCTAACTTGGTTGACACATGTCATCGTGTCCCATTTGCATAGATCGATGCGCATGCTGTTGATCACTGGATTGTCCCGTGAAAACGGGTGAACAAAAGAACTGTGCACCCCCCAACCCCCTTTCTCAAAAACCTGTATCCGCTCCTGCTCAAATAGCATTGCTCGTATGGATTACAATGCATATATTACAATTGCGCCCCCTTTAGATGCAAACCTTGACATTTGTAGTGTCAATGCACCACTCTATTCGCTGGGAACTATTCTGAGACCAGGCGATATCACATCCGCAGTCCAGCCTTGCTTCATTAGACCTACACAGACAAACACGTGTGGTTTTTCTTCCTCGCTTTGTCTGCCTTTACTTCCAAGGTTGACACAATATACCACTAAAAAACGTTTTGTTGACTTACAAGATAATAGGTTAATGACATCTGCATGCTATTTGAGGTTTATCGAGCTTGGTGGTGGGTTCTTACAGCAAGTTTCGGCCCGATTGTTTCTTGCCTTACACTGCAGGTTGTACACATTAATCTCACAAACGTATTAACACCTCTGAAAACAGCATCTTTCAAATCTAGCCTTCCATATATGGTCATAATAACTTAAAGACCTTCAAGCGGTATTAAATCCCCATCAAGAAAAGCTGCAAGGTTATTGCTCCCAGGTGCGAGGCTAAAGGCTGAGGTTATTATTTAACCGAGGATGAAATTTCTACAAACGTAATCACAGTTTACAATGTGATTGATGTAAAGTGCGTGGCGACACACCAAAAAGTATGTTCCGAGGTATTCATAGAAGCATTTCCCCCTAAATATGTTTGGTTGAACGCGACTTTGAACAGTGACAAGAACGAAATGGTGAACTAGGCGTAGACATTTCACAGCCTAGGCGAAGCCCACAAGTATGGAAAGTTTCTGGAATTCTGAAAGACTCATCAGCGGATCCTGCGATAGGTAAGTCAGAGGAAATGGCGGCCTTTGGCAACAAAAAAGTGCACAGGTTTTTGCGTCTATCTTTTTAACTACCTGCTTAAATCATGTCAGATTTCATAATAAAAAGACGACATTTAACACTGACACCTGCACAAAGCATCTGCAAACGATATGACCAGACACCTCAAATTTCAGTCAGTCCGTAACCGGGTATTACCGGTTTCATGCTGTTGCATCCGGTCTGTGTGACCCAGTTTCTACGAACGCATCAGTACACTGCTTCATGACTGTATACTTTTATTCTTACTGAGTCTTGTCCTGGACGAAGATAATAAACTTTGAATCCATCATATTTCCCAACTCGCGTTCTGCGACTTCAACATACAGGAGCAGAGTGTATCTGTTGGCTGTACAACGTTTGTGACGTAATCCACAGAATGTCACGTGACATCGCCACCAAAACGCATGGATCGTTTCCAGTGGATGGTTGTTTAATTTCCTGTTGTATAGGTTCGACACAAGAGGATTTCCTCGTGAAGCTTGGGAATACTGACCCACTGATTTTTTCCAACGGAACCAGTATGACACTTTCACATATTTATCTTTCTCTCACGAAACAAAATTCGCAACGTAACGAAACATCACAGTTCAGAGTAAAGTTTGACCTCTGATATTATAACAAATAAATCATTGACAGAATGAGGTCCGATATTGACAGGATATTGATACTGATAATCATACTGATGATCGAGCAGTTCTGATCAAGCTATTTCCTCAGAAAGTTTTGCTGTTCGTAAGTGTCACATACTACGGATCAGATGGACAGGATCTCTGACGTCGTTGACTGTGTTCAGTTGAGCCTTTATATTCCTGAAAACACCTAAATATTACAACCTTCAATGTCTTCCAATTGAGAGTTACCCCCCTTTTTTCCGGCGGCATGCTCACCTCGCATAACGCCAAAGAAAATGGAGTTATCTCCCTTTACCATGCTTAACTAGTTAAACATATTTTGTACCATATTTCACAATTGCATGTTATAGTATCTGACCTGCGTGGATCGGTGCTCATGATGTCAATCATTGGGCTGTCGGATCCATGCCCGATGATTTACATGCTTCTGTCCTATAGAAGGAATATTGCTGAGTTTTGCGTTGAATAACCAACAAAACACAGAACGTCAGTGCAAAAGAATACCCAGTTTTGACTATCCTAAGAAACAAATTCCGTTTGGTGTAAAGCGAGAAATAGCTGTGGAAATTATATGAATGGATCACTGAAAATCACTGATGATAACAGGTGTTAGCGAAAAGGGTGGGTATGTCTTGCACTCTCTACTCGTGAAGGTCCGGGTTACAATATTGATCTTCAGTAACCTATGCTTGTCGTAAGAGGCGACTAAGGGGATCGGGTGGTCAGGCTTGGTTGCCTTGGTTGACACGTGTCATCGGTTCCCAGTTGTGCAGATCGATGCTCATGCTGTTGATCACTGCCCTGGATTGTCTGGTCCAGACTCGATTATTTACAGACCGCCGCCATATAGCTGGACTATTACTGAGAGCGGCGTAAAATTAAACTCACTCACTCACTCTTGCACTCACAGCCACCGGTATCCCGCCATTAACAAAATTTGACTTAAAATGGACGTAGTGTTTGCCCAAAGCTGCGCAGCAGTACTCCTGTCGGTCTGTAAAGAAACCAGGCAAACCGAAATGGTAACGAAACTGCAGTACAACCACGTACTGTATACAGTCGTTTCTGGGTCCAACAAACCAGATGACCACTGGTCAAAGCCGTCGGGAACGATGACCGTCACCAACTTTGTGACGAGCTTTGGACAGAAGAACGGAGGTAACGTCCAATGCTGGTCGGACGTCACCCATTCCGCAAATCACCAAGTCTGATCGCAAGGGCCCCATTTCACAAAGCGATCATATCGCTACGATTGTCAGCCAATGTTATGGTATATGTCTTACGACAGTCGTAGCGCAAAGATGATCATAATTCCCATACTTTAACATAGACTTACGACAGTCGTAGCGCAAAGATGATTATAATTCCCGTACTTTAACATAGACTTACGACAGTCGTAGCGCGAAGATGATCATAATTCCCATACTTTAACATAGACTTACGACAGTCGTAGCGCAAAGATGATCATAATTCCTATACTTTAACATAGACTTACGACAGTCGTAGCGCGAAGATGATCATAATTCCCATACTTTAACATAGACTTACGACAGTCGTAGCGCTAGACGATCGCTCTGTGAAACAGGCCCCTGGACAGTGTCTGTCATCACGTACAAGCAATACAGAATTGGGGGCCAATATCACCCCAGAATCTAAGCGCGACACGCCACGTTGGCGGTATTTCAGCCATATTGTTGGGGATTATGAACATTTTGGTATAACTGATTGAATCGCCTACCCTGAATCCCGAGAGCATCTTGATCAGGGACTCGCGGTCATACACGATCGTAGACTGAACAAACTTCAAATGCCATTTATCTAAACTTCCACCGAGTAAAAAATCCTGCCATGCACACCCGAATGTTTAGCAGGAGGCGGGCCAATCGTCAACATCTGTTTCGCCTGTTTTTCCATTTAGGTCATAAATGGACCTCTCAAATCACCTGAATTATACCTCAATAGAAATTGTACAGTTCAAAATCACACAGATAACGTGGGGGCTTACAATACATAAAGACGGTCGCCTTTTGGTCGTGGTTTAGTGTGACGGAAGAGATTCAATTAAGTTTTTCCACCATCCTCCTTTCTATCAAACCATTTAAACACAAAACAGGCTTTCATCGTTCATGTTCTCGATAGTACAATTTGTACTATGGTTTCATTATTCTTGCTCACTCCGGAAAGGCAAACTGACACGGTTCCTGAATAAGAAATAATACCCTGTCGATGTTTAATAATAAATGTTTGAAATCACGTTGTACATCTTACTGGGTGAAGGGTGAGACGTTTTGAAAACGAGGTCTCAAAGGTTACAGCATTCAACTTAAAAGTTGGGTTACCAAAGAAACCAATCGTATTCTACCCGCTGTTAAACCATTTATGTTTCGTGTTCAATGCGTTTGCAGAATCAGCTCAAATTATCATGACTATGCCCAATTCGTGGGTGGCTTACAGGCGATCGTCAAAAGTCGATGTATTATGCGGAAATTTGTTCTGGTTTATTTTTGGCACGTGAATTTTATAAGAACGATGACGATCCCTCAAACCCAGGACAGTTGCATTCAAATGTGGTCTATTGAAACATCTGCTTTAAGGGAGAATCAAGAAAATAAATCATTACCATATGAATGATATTTTTTCTGTTTACAAAAGCGATTTTGGAGCCGGTTTTCCTACTGAACGTCCGTGAAAAATAGAAATGCTGAGATAGAGTAAAAATTCATAATCTCAAAATATCCGTGAAATATGAATATATACCAGTAAGAGACGGGATAACATATCCCAACACGTAATGACAAATGAGAAGTGAGTGAGTTTGGTTTAACACCTCATTGAACAGTATTCAGGTTATATCACGGCGTTACTGTTTAACATGGGAGCAAAACCCGAAGTAATACAGGTCTACAGTAGAACATGCACATGGCAGTTCGATAGCATGAACAATTATATGCGTGTAAATCGAAATCAGGTTTTAAGACTCTTTAACAGGTTCGAGTTTAAAGGGTCTGATTGAGTTCAAAAGTCTCAGAAGATTTGATTTTAAGTTTAAGAAGCCACAGAGAAGCATCCATGACTGACCAATATCACTTTGACTGCGAGTTCAATGTCCACTGGGTTTATGAAATCCAATAAGTCAAAATAGAAATTAAACTATTGCAATCTGTCTGAGTGTAAATGTCTTGGAAGGTAAATTAATCAATACTCACGACATTCACGCTACGCATAATCCGGCCCATAACAGAATAATCCCACTCCACGCTGACTGTTTCGTTCTGATGGTGATGCAGCCGTGAACAAGTTAAAGTCAGTTCTTCACGCCTTCTTCTCTACCTGTGTGACGTCGAGCTTTCCTCGTGCTCGGAATAAACAAACGGAACTTAACCGTCGTGACCAGGTACAAAAATAACCCAACATTCGAACGAAGTTACATACTCGTTATAACGCGATTCACAATTAAGAATGAAATTCAAGTTTTACCCCTACCCACATTATTACAAAAACATTTGAAAACATATAATCTTACCATACGCCCAAAATTCTTCAATACAATCACCACATTAACATTTTAAATCGTTAATTTCGTTGACATTCCAGGGACAAATTTTATAAGGACAGAATATACATCAATGACTGTCTACGGCATGGTTGTCTCCCTTAGATATACAAATACATAGGCATGTATCCTTATTGTCAATTATTATACAGGTTTGTTCATGAATGACACATTTTGATCGCGGGCTGTGTCGTAAGGGATGACGGATGTATTGAAGTGGTTGCACCATGAGGATGGTCCAGGTTTTGTAATAACAGATGAAACTTTACTGAATCAGACGAGGAGGGGCGCTCAATGGGACTGCTAGAAAACACGTGAATACCCAGTACTACTTTGTTTACAAAACAGGTTCAACATTTCCTAGTCAACACGACATTAGATAGGATGATCATTGTGCTAGCTTGTGGGTCCACGTTACGGGGTTCTGCCTTTGTTTGAGTAATAAGTCCAATTTAAGTTTTTATTTCAAGTCTCATTGTGAGGCTACAACTGTGGGTGTACCTACTTAACACACATGCAGAGACAGCTGGTAGATGACACGGTCAAACAAAATATTGCGGTTACATATCGTATTATGGCATCTGACGTCTACGTCAGTTCTACTGTTGTTGTTGTCATTACTACCGCTATCACTGTTATGGTTGCCATTACTACAGCTATTACTGTTGTTGTTGTCATTACTACAGCTATTACTGTTGTTGTTGTCATTACTACAGCTATTACCGCCGTTGTTGCCATTACTACCGCTATCACTGTTATGGTTGCCATTACTCCAGCTATTGCTGTTGACATAACTACAGCTAATACTGCTGCTGTCGCCTTTACTACAGCTATCACTATTATGGTTGCCATTACTACAGCTATTGCTGTTGCCATTACTACAGCTAATACTGCTGCTGTCGCCTTTACTACAGCTATCACTATTATGGTTGCCATTACTACAGCTATTGCCATTACTACAGCTACTACTGCTGCTGTCGCCTTTACTACAGCTATCACTATTATGGTTGCCATTACTACAGCTATTGCTGTTGCCATAACTACAGCTAATACTGCTGCTGTCGCCTTTACTACAGCTATCACTATTATGGTTGCCATTACTACAGCTATTGCCATTACTACAGCTAATACTGCTGCTGTCGCCTTTACTACAGCTATCACTATTATGGTTGCCATTACTACAGCTATTGCTGTTGCCATTACTACAGCTATTACCGCCGTTGTTGCCATTACTACAGCTATTCTTGTTGTCATTACTACATCTATTACTGCTGTTGTTGCCATTACTACAGCTATGACTGTTGCTGTTGCCATTACTACAGCTATGACTGTTGCTGTTGCCATTACTACAGTTATTACTGCTGTTGTTGACATTACTACAGCTATTACCGTTGTTGCGATTACTACAGCTATTACGGTTGTTGATATTAATACAGCTATCACTGTTGTTGACTTGACATTACTACAGTTATTACATTACTACAGCTATTACCGTTGTTGCGATTACTACAGCTATTACGGTTGTTGATATTAATACAGCTATCACTGTTGTTGACTTGACATTACTACAGTTATTACTGTGGTTGTTGACGTTACTACAGCTATTACTGTTCTTGTTGCCATTACTACAGCTATTATTGTTCATGTTGCCATTACTACAGTTATTACTGTTGTTGTTGCCATTACTACAGCTATTACCGCCGCTGTTGCCATTACTAGTTATTACTGTGGTTGCTGACATTACTACAGCTATTACTGTTGTTGTTGACATTACTACATTACATTACTACAGCTATTACTGTTGTTGTTGATGACATACTAGTTATTACTGTGGTTGTTGACATTACTACAGCTATTACTGTGGTTGTTGACATTACGTTACTACAGTTAATACTGTGTTGTTGCCATTACTACAGCTATTACTGTTCATGTTGCCATTACTACAGTTATTATGTGTTGACATTACTACAGCTATTACCGCCGCAGACATTATTGTTGTTGACATTACTACAGCTATTACTGTTGTTGTTGACATTACTACAGCTATTACTGTTGTTGTTGACATTACTACAGTTATTACTGTGGTTGTTGACATTACTACAGCTATTACTGTTCTTGTTGACATTACTACAGCTATTACTGTTGTTGACATTACTACAGTTATTACTGTGGTTGTTGACATTACTACACATTACTACAGTTATTACTCTGTTGTTGACATTACTACAGCTATTACTGTTGTTGTTGACATTACTACAGTTATTACTGTTGTTGACATTACTACAGTTATTACTGTTGTTGTTGATATTACTACAGCTATTACTGTTGTTGTTGACATTACTACTGTTGTTATTGACATCTACAGTTATTACTGTGGTTGTTGCCATTACTACAGCTATTACTGTTGTTGTTGACATTACTACAGCTGTTACTGTTGTTGACATTACTACAGTTATTACTGTTGTTGACATTACTACAGTTATTACTGTGGTTGTTGATATTACTACAGCTATTACTGTTGTTGTTGACATTACTACAGTTATTACTGTGGTTGTTGACATTACTACAGTTATTACTGTGGTTGTTGCCATTACTACAGCTATTACTGTTGTTGTTGATATTACTACAGCTATTACTGTTGTTGTTGCCATTACTACAGCTCTCACTGTTGTTGTAACCATCGCTTTCACCACTTCCATCAACAACTACAACCACGTGTATGCCTATGTCGACAAGTCTACTATTCATAGTGAAAGCATTTGCTTGCTATGTAAGTTACAGGTTCGTATCCGTCAGTTCAAACCACCACAATAACCTATAAACCCACCACTCCAAATACTATTAATAATTCAACTGCCGGTACTTTTTACCTCGTGTCAATGCATGCCACGATACAGAAACCTAGTATAGAGGAATGACACGAAATTGTGTCAATGGATGTTTGCTGAATAACCATTCCGTACAAAACGGTAGAGAAATCTCCACTTTCAATTGACGTCATGCTGACTGTCATTTTATAACGAAATCAAACAGTACCCTGGTGTCATGCATCGCCCCAGTGACCCCCATATCAGGTGACAGAATTCCGATTCAAACCTACTTGACCTTGCCACACCTTCGTAGCTTGAGACGTATGAACCATTAGCATTTCATACGAAGTAGACAAGTTCTGCGTGACTGAAGTCGAGCATACACGCCCTGGAGCATTACTAGTTGTAGGATAGTAGAGTAACTGTGAGGACTAGCACACACGCCCCTACACACTGTCATGGGACCCCTCCATTATCGCGGTAGTTAATGTTGTCACTATCGGGAATATGAACGCCCACTGACATTTGGCACTTTATACATATTTTCACTCAGAGACTGAAGCTGAATCCTCATTTCTGTCATATATAATGTGGCACATAGTCGCAACTCGTTCAATACGATCGCAGCAATCCCAATTGCCTCGTTTGGCCCGGAAATTGAAGTAACTCTCTATAATCGCCATATTGCTAATTTCTAAACATGGCACGCAGTACAAGAAAATGACACTGTCAAACGTTTACTAAGGCAAGAAACGAATCTAAATAGTTTATTATTAAAAGTTATTTAGAAATTTCATTTTGTTTTTAACAAAGATATCTGAAACTTCTATTTATATGGATCCAAGGTACCAATAACGTAACTAAATACTAGTATCTTTTTGCCGCTTTAAAACGTACCACACAATTTGCTGTCGAGTGCAGGGTGAAGTTGCATAATACGTCACTTCCTGTTAAATGTTTATGACCGAAAATATGCAAATGACCTTATATTTGTCCCAGAACTTACTGTAAAGATGAATACTTAAATATTTCTACGATTTGACATGACATTCCAATGAAATAAATTACTTTTGCAAGAGCGATGAATTCTTTTCCGAAATTTGCACATGTAAACAGCCGATGTGGGGTGTGGTGTTTCTGCCTTCCCGATATTTTCATGTGCCATAGAGAGCCCGCCAGAGTTCCAGGATACTAGTTGTTGGAGGGCTTCGAAAATCTAGGCCCTGGATACAGTTGTATGGTATTGCAGTACTTGCGTGTGAATTTTCCACTTTTATTTGTATACTGAGTTAGTGAATGGTAAAAAGTCATCTCTCTCGCTCTCTCATTCTCTCTCCGTAAAGACTTTTGCCCAAACAAACCACTGGTTGATAGTATCAGAAACAACGATCAGGCTACACATTGTGACCTCATTCCCCAGATAACCAGTATTAAATTACATTTGTGACGTCATTCCACTGTTTGCTCGCTCCATTCCTTTTCGGGAACGGAGCGATGTGTACCAGTTTCAAATTAAAGCCTTCATTTTGTCATTTTGAGATTTAATTTTGATAACAGAAATATCCCCAGTTCTTTGAATGTAATTTACGCAGGGTAATATCCTCGTAACTCTCCATTCCTTAAAAATAATGTGCCTCGGCCCCTCCGGGGACTCGGCTCCATTATTTTTAAGGAATGGAGCGTTACTCGGACATTACCCTCTACGTACTGTGGTAAGTGAGAGATTCAAAGGGCCAATGCAGGATACAAAACTCAATCAAACATTTTCTTGATGATACTGTTCAGTACAAATATGGCCATTTGTATCCACGTGATCAGTGATTCACCCGAGAGGGCCATTTTGTCTGTGTGGGGGAGACATTTCCTTGCTTTTTCAGTACTGTACGTCACATGTGGCCAACGCGTGCATGAGACTTCTTGCAGGTTACGAAAAAAGAACAGTGACGATGAATTTACAGGTGTGAATACAAAAATACGACAAAATGAAAAGAGAAAGTGAATTATGGAGGCCTTTGGGGAGGGCAATACCCTTTTATATTCTTAACACATGCTCTGTACGATATATACGAAAATAACGAGTGTACTTGAGTCAATTTATAAACGATTGAGTTTTTTTAAAACGTGATGAGTGATTTGTCGTGATGTTTGTGCACATCAACACTTACTTTTTTAGAACGCAAAGCAAACACAATTCGAGTAAGTAGATCTCGCATCGTTGTATGGAATTTATTGACATTATTTTAAGTGAGGTTATCTTATTTCCATACCCCACCGCCCAACTTTGTTCAAGAGTTAGTTGGTCATGCACGTGGGTTTCATGTCCTAAGCGCCTGCAAAACCTCGTGTTTTCCTCCTGCATTAAGCTGGTCGAATACTGCTGTTTTAAATCAGCGTAAAACAACACTCAGTCATTAGCAACCAATATTAGTCGACGACAAATCAAAGACTATGGATTGAATAGTCTAAAATATTTAATGTTTCTATTGACAGTTATCTGAAGGTGTACGTAAGAAGGTAAGAGACGTATTACTTCAAGGATAATGTCCAATAAGAAAGAAGAAAGAGACGCCACTCCAGGGAGCAATAAACGCCTGTTATTGGATGAAGGCCACACTCCAGCTATATGTCGTCGATGTATATAATCATTATTTTACGTGCCAAACTGAAAAAACTGGTTAAAAACTTGTTTATATTCTTTATCACGACGTTTCAGAGCTAATGAAACGTCCCGAAAAAGAATAAAGAGAAGTTGTTAAGCATGAAACGTGTCATGTATTCGTTAACAATATCTGAACGGAGACTATTCTTACGATTGTACTACATGACGCTCTTTCGTCCACTCAAAAGAAATTTTTCGTTGAGGCCACACTCACAAAACCACGTTCATTCGTTGTCAAAACATACGACCCTGCTTTAGCTAAGGATTAAATCAGTATAGCATAGTATCTACTTGCCCAGAAGACAACAGACAAGGGTGTAATTGTCTGCGCCAGTTGAACCTTTGTCGTACTTGATACATGACTTGGTATGTTTTCGTAATGGCTGTTGTAACTATACAAGTTACTACACAACATACAAGTCTTCCTGGGTCCAGTATAAAGTTCCATATGAATCAGGGGCGGATACAGCTTTTTGAGAAAGGTGTGTGTGTATGTGTGTGCGTGCGTGCGTGCGTGCGTGCGTGCACTATTGAAATGGGGTGCGCACTTCATTTTCACAAGAATTTCAATGGTCATTTACAGTGTATGAAATAAGCCAAAAACCCAGCCAGACATCAGGGCTGGTAACTTCAAAATGTTACCAGCCCAAAATGGATTTAACCAGACCAAACAATCCAAAGAAACTAACTCAATTTTTAGTTATTGTTTAGACACTGTTTTAGTGATAATATATGTCAACGCAGTGCTTTGAGCTTGCGATACGATAGTTCAATGTTCAAACAGTAATTGTCAAGTCTAAATGCAAAGCTCAATTTGAAAAACAGATTTTAAGATGTGATGAATTTACTCAGATGTATGGAACATGTAATCTAAAATGTTTACCAGACCATTGGGCTGACCAGCTGTAAATTTAGACCGTCCGTCAGAAATCTAGCCCGTCTCGGGCGGTCGGACGGGCCTTATTTCATACACTGACGAAAGCCCTTTGTGTTCGAACTATGTAACATCACAAGTACTGCCAGTTAGACACAATATGGTCCTACTCATTGTGCGAAATAGTTTCCACATTTTGCAAGCCAGTCGGCTAGCTATGCCTGAAAGTTACTAGCCCACAAAATAATTCACTAGCTCGAAATTTGAATGTAGAAAGTACGCAAAAGATTACAAAAAGGTAAAATACCATCAAAACCAAATGACCCCATGAAAATTCACTAGCCAGTTGGGCCAGTGACTGGAGATTTACTGGCCTGACTGGATTTTTACTACCCATGGTCTAGCGGGCTAGTGGCTACTTCGCACACTGGTCCTACTGCAGCATACAAGGTGATCGAATCATTAGGACTGCAAGCAATGCTGGCCACTGTTGACCAATCAAAGCTGCATTGGCAAAGGTCTTACAGATCATGGTCTGATTTACCTTGGCTGGGTGGTCAAGGCTAAGAGCGATCATACTCAAATAGATGTGGTCATCTGTGACAACCATCCTATTGCTGTGGACACCTGTGACAACTATCCTATTGCTGTGGACATATTTGACGACCATCCTATTGCTGTGAACATCTGTGACAACCATCATATTGCTGTGGATACCTGTGACAACCATCATTTTGCTGTAAACATCTGTGACAACCATCATAATGCTGTAGACACCTGTGACAACCATCCTATTGCCGTGGACATCAGTGACAACCATCATAATGCTGTAGACACCTGTGACAATCATTTTGCTGTAGACACCTGTGACAACCACCCAATTGCTCTGAACAAGTGACAACCATCATAATGCAGACACCCTATTGCTGTGAACACCTGTGACAACCATCCTATTGCTGTGAACACCTGTGACAACCATCCTATTTGTGGACACCTGTGACAACCATCCTATTGCTGTGGACAACTGTCCATCCTATTGCTGTGGACAACCATGATTGCAGACACATGACAACTATCATATTGCTGTAGGCATCTGTGACAACCATCATATTGCTGTAGACACCTGTGACAACCATCATAATGCTGTGGACACCTGTGACAACCATCCTAATGCTGTGGACACCTGTGACAACCATCCTATTGCTGTGGACACCTGTGACAACCATCCTATTGCTGTAGCCATCTGCGACAACCATCATATTGCTGTGGACATCAGTGACAACCGACCTATTGCTGTGGACGCCTGTGACAACCATCATTTTGCTGTGGACACCTGTGAAAACCACCCTGTTGTTGTGGCTGTCTGTGAGAATCATCATGTTGTTGTGGCTCTCTGTAACAACCATCATATTGCTGTGGATACCTGTGACAACCATCCTATTGCTGTAGACATCTTTGACAACCATCCTAATGCTATAGACACCTGTGACAACCATCATAATGCTGACAACCATCATAATGCTAACAAGACATCTGTAACAACCACTCTATTGCTGTGGACACCTGTGACAACCATCCTATTGCTGTGGACGCCTGTGACAACCATCCTATTGCTGTAAACATCTGTAACAACCATCCCATTGCTGTGGACACCTGTGACAACCATCATTTTGCTGTGGACACCTGTGACAACCACCCTGATGCTGTTGTCTGTGGACCACCCTGTTGTTGTGGCTGTCTGTGAGAACCACCCTGTTGTTGTGGCTTTGTGCTGTGTGTGGACAGAAACCATGTTGTTGTGGCTGTCTGTGAGACAGCCACCCTATTGATGTTGTGGACACCTCTGTGAGAACCATCCTGCTGTTGGGCACCTGTGACCCTGTTGTTGTGGCTGTCATTCATCCTGTTGTTGTGGCTGTCTGTGAGAATCAGCCTGTTGTTGTGGCTGTGTGAGAACCCTCTGTTGTTGTGGCTGTCTGTGACAACCACCCTGTTGTTGTGGCTGTCTGTGAGAACCATCCTGTTGTTGTGGACACCTGTGACAACCATCATATTGCTGTGGACACCTGTGACAACCATCATATTGCTGTAGACACCTGTGACAACCATCCTATTGGTGTAGACATCTGTGACAACCATTCTGTTGTTGTGGCTCTGTCTGTGAACCACCCTGTTGTGTGGCTGTCTGTCTTATTGCTGTGGACGCCTGAGACAACCATCCTATTGGTGTAGACATCTGTGACAACCATCGTATTGCTGTGGACGCCTGTGACAACCATCATATTGCTGTAGATACCTGTGACAACCATCCTATTGCTGTAGACATCTGTGAGAACCATCATATTGCTGTGGACACCTGTGACAACCATCCTATTGCTGTGGACATCTGTGACAACCATCCTATTGCTGTGGACATCTGTGACAACCATCCTATTGCTGCAGACATCTGTGACAACCATCCTATTGCTGTGGACATCTGTGACAACCATCATATTGCTGTGGACATCTGTGACAACCATCCTATTGCTGTAGACGTCTGTGACAACCATCATATTGCTGTGGACACCTGTGACAACCATCCTATTGCTGTGGACGCCTGTGACAACCATCGTTTTGCTGTGGACACCTGTGACAACCATCCTGTTGTTGTGACTGTCTGTGAGAACCACCCTGTTGTTGTGGCTGTCTGTGAGAACCACCCTGTTGTTGTGGCTGTCTGTGAGAACCACCCTGTTGTTGTGGCTGTCTGTGAGAACCACCCTGTTGTTGTGGCTGTGTGTGAGAACCACCCTGTTGTTGTGGCTGTCTGTGAGAACCACCCTGTTGTTGTGGCTGTCTGTGAGCTGTTGTGGCTGTCTGTGTCTGTGTCTGTGAGAACCACCCTGTTGTTGTGGCTGTCTGTGAGAACCACCCTGTTGTTGTGGCTGTCTGTGAGAACCTGTTGTTGTGGCTGTCTGTGAGAACCACTCTGTTGTTGTGGCTGTCTGTGAGAACCAGAACCCCTTGTTGTGGCTGAGTGTGAGCTGTCTGTTGTTGTGGCTGTCTGAGAGAACCACTCTGTTGTTGTGGCTGTCTGTGAGAACCACCCTGTTGTTGTGGCTGTCTGTGAGAAGAATCACTGTGTGAGAATCCTGTTGTTGTGGCTGTCTGTGAGAACCACCCTGTTGTTGTGGCTGTCTGTGAGAACCACCCTGTTGTTGTGGCTGTCTGTGAGAACCACCCTGTTGTTGTGGCTGTCTGTGAGAACCACCCTGTTGTTGTGGCTGTCTGTGAGAACCACCCTGTTGTTGTGGCTGAACCACCCTGTTGTTGTCTGTGAGAGAACCACCACCCTGTTGTTGTGGCTGTCTGTGAGAATCACCCTGTTGTTGTGGCTGTCTGTGAGAATCACCCTGTTGTTGTGGCTGTCTGTGAGAACCACCCTGTTGTTGTGGCTGTCTGTGAGAACCACCCTGTTGTTGTGGCTGTCTGTGAGAACCACCCTGTTGTTGTGGCTGTCTGTGAGAACCACCCTGTTGTTGTGGCTGTCTGTGAGAACCACCCTGTTGTTGTTGTGGCTGTCTGTGAGAACCACCCTGTTGTTGTGGCTGTCTGTGAACCACCCTGTTGTTGTGGCTGTCTGTGAGAACCACCCCTGTTGTTGTGGCTGGTGAGAACCACCCTGTTGTTGTGGCTGTCTGTGAGAACCACCCTGTTGTTGTGGCTGTCTGTGAGAACCACCCTGTTGTTGTGGCTGTCTGTGAGAACCACCCTGTTGTTGTGGCTGAGTGTGAGAACCACCCTGTTGTTGTGGCTGTCTGTGAGAATCACCCTGTTGTTGTGGCTGTCTGTGAGAACCACCCTGTTGTTGTGGCTGTCTGTGAGAACCACCCTGTTGTTGTGGCTGTCTGTGAGAACCATCCTATTGTTGTTGGTGAGTGTGAGAACCAGCCTGTTGTTGTATTATGTCAGTATCATGTCATCCTTGTCACAGAAAACAGTCCTTGCATGGAATAATACTCACATCCATGTGCAGGATTCTGCAGCCATGTATATTATATGACCATGTACAAGAGTGAATGGGTTTCAAGTGAGTGAGTGAGTGAGTTATTATTTAACGTCACATCGGCAATGGGTTTCAAGTGTATAGAAATGGTCATATAATGGTGTTTCAGCTTAATGTTGATGTGAACCTCTCTGGTGAGTGATTGAGTTTAGTTTTAGCCGCTTTTAACACTATTCGAGCAATATCACGGCAGGGGAACACCAGAAATGGGCTTCACATATTGTACCCATGTGAGGAATCAAACTGGGGTGTTCGGCATGTGACAAGCGAATGCTTTAACCACCAGGCTACCCTTCCGCCGATCTCTGGTGAAACTCATAGTCACAGCCAAGATGATGATAAACCAAGGATCAAAATTAATTATGGCAGAACTGAGATGCAAACAGATAGCCTTCATCCTGGTGTAGCTTAGGGACATTAGATAGTCGTACATGTATGACAGACTACGTGACTAATCTCAGACTGAAAAGTTTCTTATTTGAGATCCTGATTATTTCACAAACACACATTCTTCACACATATTTGAAGTGAAAGGTGGAACTGCATGTGATGAATAATATGCTTCCCAGTTTCAGAATTCAGGAATTAATTCCCGAGATAACTTTCCATCTGACATTTCATCATGTGTTGGAGGTGACACCTCAGCTGGCTAGGTGTTTGTGTTTACTCTCCACTGACAAGGTTCAACATTCGCTGTTGTCACAGGGACGCTGTGTTGACAGGGGAGTTAACTCTGTAAGGTTGAGGTTGAAGGTAAACAGGTTTAATTTTCTTGTTTGTGAACCCAAATTAACTTTCTCGCTTCCATGTCATGAGAGTGAACAAAAAATACATGTCCTAACAAAAAACTATATTAGGCTCCTGCCACATAAATATTGAGCAAGTCCAAAGGTACAGATTTACCTGACCCTCCCACAAAATACACTGACACGGCCGTACAAACTATTAAGAAAAAGAAAGAATTTCAACTGACTTAAATGTGTTGGTGATGTCCTCAAGTTAAAAATCATAATTTGAGGAGAAAACTGGTGCAGGAAATTTCAAAGTGCATATAAATTTATACCATTCAACTTAAACCATAGCCATATACCGTACATTACCATAGATAAGCTGAAGGTTGGTAGGTCGGTAGGTCGGCTTATGTACGGGACATACCATTGTGATACAGATTTTAAGGGTCAAGTTAGGACCAGTGTCTGCAATACTTTCATTTTCCAGGTGGCCTTCAGGGCCTGCTGCCACGGCTTTAAAATCTACAGGCCCTGAGTGAAATCTCCTGGCCCATTTTGTTAAAGTCAAACCAATAAAATGAAAATGGACTACATTGTACACAGTTTCATACTGTTTCTACAAAATCAATTAGCGAAGCCTATGGTGCACAGAGACGTTTTTATTTGTTAAAGACTGGTGTTGACATTCCTATGCGCAAAGCGTTGACATACCAGGAAGTGAAACTGTAAGTTTTCGTAACTTGGTGGATTATGGATGATTCCCCAACGTTAATAAAGAAAACAATAATGGGAAAGATTCCAGTTGAGAAAAAAAATGACATAATTTACTGACGGCCACAAGGGAATGCATATATTGAAACTGACGGCCTGATACAATAACAAATGGCGTTGGGTCTCCGGGCCAGCGATTATTTCGAACACTGGTTAGGACCCCAGCTTATCTATAAAATTGGCTTGTCTATAATAACATATGGTAATTGTTAGAAATATAAAACAGTGTTAGTTTGAATAGAGAGGACATGATATGTGGACAAGTATTTAAATCATTGTGAAAAGGATATAACAAATATGACATGTTCAGTCTCAATAAAATCATTCAGGTGATGCAGCAGAGCAAATGAACCTATAAAAAGAGATGGTGACAAGTTAAAATATATTCATGAATCATCCCTTGATCTCCTGCGTGATATGAGAAAACTTGACATTAGTGAGGTGAAGTGGAGCTCTTGGTTTTGTTCTTGATAAATGTTACATAACATTCATTTATTATTCTCATATAATGTTAGTTGTGGGGGCAGGCAAGGACAGATGCTTCAGATTAATGGTCCAGATTTATTTCATTTATAGGGCCAGTCCATGCCAAGGTTTTACATGGTTAACCATATCAGACACAGTGTAGCGAGCCGAGTTTTCAGACCAGTTATTGCCAAGCACTGGGCAGGGTAATAGAATACCATCTTTTAACACGTGATGGTAGTGTGGGTCTGGGAATTGAACCTTACTCTCTCTGTGAAGATGCCGTATACCACTAAAGAGCCAAGGTGGTCCAGTTGAAAGTGGACCCCATGCTTGAAAAATATAACACTGCAAGCAGAGCTTGAAAACCTGGACACCTTTAACCCCCTCAATTGGTGAGGTGAGGTGAAATTGGGTTTAACGTCGTACTTGAGAATATTTCGCTCATATGACGACGTGCATGCCTGTGTATGTGTATGTGCGGCTGCTTGTACTAGCCCAGACTGAAGCTGGTTTTGTAGTGCTAGCCCACTGAGATACCATGCCGCAGTGAAGCATGAATACCCCACTCAGACAAATTATACTGACTCCGAGCCTACCAGTCCTTGTTGTACCAATTAATGCTGAGTGCCAGGCAGGGACCAACAAGTACCATATTTTAACGTCTTTTGATAAGACGCGGTTGGGGATCAAACCTGTGACCTTCAGCTCTCCGGGCAGACGCTCTAACCACTACACCACACGGAGGCGGTCTAACCTCAATTTGGGGTGGTTGGGTAGCCTAGTGGTTAAAGCGTTCCCTTGTCACGCCAAAGACATAGGTTCGATTCCCCACATGGGTACAATGTGTGAAGCCCATTTCTGGTGTCCCCCACCATGATATTGCTGGAATATTGCTAAAAGCGGTGTAAAACCCAACTCACTCACTCACTAACCTGAAGTGTGAGGGGACTGACATCAGATCTTGTGTTTGGGGATGTCGCCAACTCTTACCTGATCTGGGGGGAACATGTCTAGCAGCCTGTTATCCCATGATGATGGCTGGCGCCTTCCATCCTGTCGCCATCTAGATCTGTCCACTCAGCAAGTATACAAGACTCGGCTCTGTCTCACCTGAAATCACAGTCCACAGAGAACCAGTCAGGGACCATCCCAAAACAGAACAGCAGCTTTATTGTTGAACCTGGTGAACTGAATGGTCAAATATATTCCTGGAAATCATAACTTTAACAACAATAAGATGGCGCACATCTCCATGTAAATCGCCAGTGATTTTAACTCTTGGAATTGTCATAGTCAGGGTCTGATCACGTATCATCAGTTGGAGAAATTTGATTTTTGCATATCTTGGAGCACAGGTGACTGGAACCTTATGTACTGGAATGACATCATAAAAGATATAGGTGAGGTGAGGTGAAATTGGGTTTTACGTCGTGCTTGAGAATATTTCGCTCATATGACGGCGTGCATGCCTTGCTGTATGTGCAGGCTGTACTGAGCCCAGACTGAAGCTGGTTTTATAGGGATGTATAGTAATTCAGTGAAGGATATACCCCACTCGGAGAGGACCAGCCCTTGTTGTACCCATTAATGTCGAGATAAGTACCATTTTCCATGGAGTCCAGTCTCGAATTAAATCTTTTTAGAAATTATCCATAAAGATTTAAACTATTAACCTTGCTTTGTACCTGAACAAAGACTATAGTAATGCCTTCGGAGAGGCCCGAGATAAGCTGCCTATGGACCAGTCTTATTAAATCTGAAATTATCATTTTAATGAAAACTTGCGTGCCTTCAGACCCCACCGCCTACATCAATTTCTGTTATTTTGATGAAAACTATTTCCCAAAGTGCACAATGGATTTTCATACTGTGTCAGTATAGTAACTAATTAAATCCTTGCAAGATTCAATGTAAAGATTATGGTCTTCAAAACAAACAGAATTACCAGACTTAGAAAGTCAATCAAAGTCTGCTACTTAAATATGTTTTCAGAGATATCACTTATTATCAACAATAAATTATCAAATTCACCCATTAACATGGTGTTCTCTGTGTACAGTTGTGATGAACAGCAGCTTGAATGTAAAACGACCTTGAGGAATGACTTTCTTCTAAGACCCAATTTACAGAATACAGCTTTATGTGACAAACATCATTCTTGTTTCATGTGTACAGATATAGATAACTGGTTAGATCCAGTTTAGAACCACCTATGTAGTCTGGTGGAGAGACCGTCTGCTGGAGACTCTAAGTTTGGTGGCTATTTGCCCTGCTACGTCATACGAAAAGACGTTAAAAGATGGCACTTATTGTTGCCCTGCCTGGTGCTTGGCTTTATGGGTTACAAAAGGTGAGACGACTCAGAGAGAGTCAACTTCAACTGCAGCATGTATCTCTGTAGGCTGACATCACCCCAGACGACAATAAGCAGCTACACACACATGCATGCACATTGACAAATATGTGAAATAATCTTGCATGCAAGATTACACCGCATTTCACCTCCCCTCAGAGCCATTTTATTTATATATTCAAAATAACCCCAAGGTCAAACATGGTTAATTTCCTATTTAATGGTTCTCGGAGACAACCACATTGTCCAGGTTGATTAGAGGCAGATTTTCTACAAAATACACTTCAACTAAACATCATAAAAGAAATGTCAAAAACAAATCATTATTTTTTAAATCTGGGTTAAAATTGTCCATTAAACAAGAATGATAGAGGTGAATACTTTAAGATGTTAGATACTGATATGTAATGGGATCAGTTTCTTTCCGCTAGCCAACTTTTATTACCACCCAATACATACAGTTTACTCACTGAACCAATCACTGTCACTCCACATTGGCACGTTCATGTTGCTTTGATCACAATAATCATTGAAAGGACTACAAACTGTTGAGCTTACTCCTGCAATAAAACTACAGAAGATGAACAAGGGAATTATTCATGAGGACGGTACATGTTTACAGGGACAAAAAACGCTTTGTGCTACAGTATTTATGACAAATTCCACCCAACTTTATGATGACGACTTCTGATAGAAATATACCAATCTGAGCCTACAATACAATGACTAAATGATACAGAATTTGCTGAGTCACGAATATCACTCTTAACAACACCTGTTGGAGTTACATTTATAAAATTTTCTTAATAATTACCAATTCTGGAATGGAGTGAAAATTTAGAAATTTAGACATAAATCTGGTAATGTCCTTCCTGTGCATGTGTGTGTGTGTGTGTGTAAGAGAGAGTCTGAGTGTGTGCACATGTGCAAGAATGCATGTGAGTGTGTGTGAGTGTGTTTGTGTATATGTAAGTCTGCATGCATGTGAGTGTGTGTGTGTGTTTGTGTATATGTAAGTCTGCATGTATGTGTGTGTGAGTGTGTTTGTGTATATGTAAGTCTGCATGCATGTGAGTGTGTTTGTGTATATGTAAGTCTGCATGCATGTGAGTTTGTGTGAGTGTGTTTGTGTAAGTCTGCATGCATGTGAGTTTGTGTGAGTGTTTGTGTATCTGTAAGTCTGCATGCATGTGAGTTTGTGTGAGTGTGTTTGTGAATATGTAAGTCTGCATGCATATGAGTGTGTGTGAGTTTGTGTGCGTATATGTAAGTCTGCATGCATATGAGTGTGTGTGAGTTTGTATGCGTATATGTAAGTCTGCATGCATGTGAGTTTGTAAGCGTATATGTAAGTCTGCATTCATATGAGTGTGTGTGAGTTTGTATCGTGATATGTAAGTCTGCATGCATATGAGTGTGTGTGAGTTTGTAAATGCGATATGTAAGTCTGCATGCATAAGGAGTGTGTGTGAGTTTGTATGCGTATATGTAAGTCTGCATGCATGTGAGTTTGTAAGCGTATATGTAAGTCTGCATTCATATGAGTGTGTGTGAGTTTGTATGCGTATATGTAAGTCTGCATGCATATGAGTGTGTGTGAGTTTGTATGCGTATATGTAAGTCTGCATGCATATGAGTGTGTGTGAGTTTGTATGCGTATATGTAAGTCTGCATGCATATGAGTGTGTGTGAGTTTGTAAGCGTATATGTAAGTCTGCATGCATATGAGTGTGTGTGAGTTTGTAAGCGTATATGTAAGTCTGCATGCATATGAGTGTGTGTGTGAGTTTGTAAGCGTATATGTAAGTCTGCATGCATATGAGTGTGTGTGAGTGTGTTTGTGTATATGTAAGTCTGCATGCATATGAGTGTGTGTGTGAGTGTGTTTGTGTATATGTAAGTCTGCATGCATGTGAGTGTGTGTGTTTGTATGCATATATGTAAGTCCGCATGCATATGAGTGTGTGAGTGGGTTTGTGTATATGTAAGTCTGCATGCATATGAGTGTGTGTGTGTATATGTCAGTCTACATGCATGTGAGTTTGTGTGTGTGTTTGTGTATATGTAAGTCTGCATGCATACGAGTGTGTGAGTGTGTTTGTGTATATGTAAGTCTGCATGCATATGAGTGTGTGTGAGTTTGTATGCGTATATGTAAGTCTGCATGCATATGATTGTGTGTGAGTGTTTGTGTATATGTAAGTCTGCATGCATGAGTGTGTGTGAAAGTGTTTGTGTATATGTAAGTCTGCATGCATATGAGTGTGTGAGTGTGTGTGTATATGTAAGTCTGCATGCATGTGAGTTTGTGTGAGTGTTTGTGTATATGTAAGTCTGCATGCATATGAGTGTGTGTGAGTGTGTTTGTGTATATGTAAGTCTGCATCCATATGAGTGTGTGTGAGTGTGTTTGTGTATATGTAACTCTGCATGCATGTGAGTTTGTGTGAGTGTGTTTGTGTATATGTAAGTCTGCATGCATATGAGTGTGTGTGTAAATGTAAGTCTGCATGCATGTCAGTTTGTGTGAGTGTGTTTGTGTATATGTAAGTCTGCATGCATGTGAGTTTGTGTGAGTGTGTTTGTGTATATGTAAGTCTGCATGCATATGAGTGTGTGTGAGTGTGTTTGTGTATATGTAAGTCTGCATGCATGTGAGTTTGTTTGTGTATATGTAAGTCTGCATGCATATGAGTGTGTGTGAGTGTGTTTGTGTATATGTAAGTCTGCATGCATGTGAGTTTGTGTGAGTGTTTGTGTATCTGTAAGTCTGCATTCATGTGAGTTTGTGTGAGTGTGTTTGTGTATATGTAAGTCTGCATGCATGTGAGTTTGTGTGAGTGTTTGTGTATATGTAAGTCTGCATGCATGTGAGTTTGTGTGAGTGTGTTTGTGTATATGTAAGTCTGCATGCATGTGAGTTTGTGTGTTTCTGGGACTCTCAGTGTCTGTGCATGCAAGTGGGTGTGAGTCTGTGTATGCATGCGAGTGTGTGTCTCTGTGTGCATGCACGTGTGTGAGCGTTTCTCTGTACATGCATGTGTGAGTGTATGTGTGTGTATTGGTATGTGTGTGTGTGTGTGGTCTCTGTGTGTCAGTATGTGTGCATGTGTGTTTGTGCACGCATGTGAGTGTGTATGACAGCCCACTCAGATACTGTGCTACAGTTAAACATGAAACAGACACAGAATACCGACACGAGGACGACCAGACATTGAACTATCTACTTATCGAGGACGACCAGACATTGAACTATCTACTTATCGAGGACGACCACACATTGAACTATCTACTTATCGAGGACGACCACACATTGAACTATCTACTTATCGAGGACGACCACACATTGAACTATCTACTTATCGAGGATGACCAGACATTGAACTATCTACTTATCGAGGACGACCACACATTGAACAATCTACTTATTGAGGACGACCAGACATTGAACTATCTACTTATCGAGGCGACCAGACATTGAACTATCTACTTATCGAGGACGACCACACATTGAACTATCTACTTATCGAGGATGACCACACATTGAACTATCTACTTATCGAGGGGCGACTAGACACTGAACTATCTACTTATCGAGGGCGACCACACATTGAACTATCTACTTATCGAGACTCCACTCACACATTGAACTATCTACTTATCGAGGGCGACCACACATTGAACTATCTACTTATCGAGGATGACCACACATTGAACTATCTACTTATCGAGGGGCGACTAGACACTGAACTATCTACTTATCGAGGGGCGACCACACATTGAACTATCTACTTATCGAGGGCGACCACACATTGAACTATCTACTTATCGAGGGCGACCCACATTGAACTATCTACTCTATCGAGGATGACCACACATTGAACTATCTACTTATCGAGACTAGACACTGAACTATCTACTTATCGAGGATGACCACACATTGAACTATCTACTTATCGAGGACGACCACACATTGAACTATCTACTTATCGAGGACGACCACACATTGAACTATCTACTTATCGAGGATGACCACACATTGAACTATCTACTTATCGAGGACGACCACACATTGAACTATCTACTTATCGAGGACGACCAGACATTGAACTATCTACTTATCGAGGACGACCACACATTGAACTATCTACTTATCGAGGACGACCACACATTGAACTATCTACTTATCGAGGACGACTAGACATTGAACTATCTACTTATCGAGGGCTGACCACACATTGAACTATCTACTTATCGAGGGGCGACCAGACATTGAACTATCTACTTATCGAGGGCGACCAGACATTGAACTATCTACTTATCGAGGGCACTCACACATTGAACTATCTACTACGAGGAATGACCAGACATTGAACTATCTACTTATCGAGGGCGACCAGACATTGAACTATCTACTTATCGAGGGCTGACCACACATTGAACTATCTACTTATTGAGGGCGACCAGACATTGAACTATCTACTTATCGAGGGCGACCACACATTGAACTATCTACTTATCGAGGGCGACCAGACATTGAACTATCTACTTATCGAGGGGCGACCACACATTGAACTATCTACTTATCGAGGGGCGACCAGACATTGAACTATCTACTTATCGAGGGCGACCACACATTGAACTATCTACTTATCGAGGGGCGACCACACATTGAACTATCTACTTATCGAGGACGACCACACATTGAACTATCTACTTATCGAGGACGACCACACATTGAACT